ATGTGGTCGAAACATGCATACAGTACATACAGTAAAAAAGAAAGATGCTGACGGTAGCACAGTTGAAGAAAGTTGGGTAGAAAACTTCAAAAGTGGATTTGGTAGGTTATTTACACCTGAGAAAGAATGATGAAAAAATAATAGTTAAAATTATTTCTATTATTATTTATAATGCAAGATGTTATAAATAATATTATTAAATTCATTGATGTAAAAGAATTGAAATTAAATAATTTTATTGAAGAATATAACGAAACATGATATATTATTTAATTTTGTTAATGACTTTAGAAATAGCAAAATTGATTTTAACATGTTTTATAATTCTATTAATTATGCTGATTTATTTGAACAATCAGATTTAAAATTCTATTGTAAAAGAATATATTCATATACTTTAAGATTTATTGCTAATTATGATAATAAAAATGCTATTCAGTTTTATGAAATTACATTGAGAAAAATGAATAATATTTACAAAAATAGTAACATTAATGTTGTTAATGTGTTTGAATGTATTAAATGTTTAATAATTTATATTACAGATAATATTGAAAAGTTTCATAAATATTCAAAATTTAGAAAAACTATTATTTGTAATTTAATTGGTAAATTGAATAATAATTTAACGAGTTACACAATAACTAATTTTGAATTGACTTATAATGATATATGATTTTGTAAAATAAAAGTTTAGTTTTAAAAGTTTTATTTTATAATATAATATATATATTTACATGGATGAAGGATTAGAAAAGATTGTTAAAAAACTGAACAAGGTTTTAGAACAGAATAAGAATATTTTAGAAATCTTGCAAGAAATGGAAAAGAAGAAACCAGTAACAAACAGTTATCAAAGTAAAGAAGTAGATAGAACCAATGCTGAATATAAAAATAAGAAACAAGTGTATTTAAACAAACTTAATAACAAAGAAATTAAAGAACCGAAGGCTTCAACTATGACATTTTATCAAATTGACTATGATGAAGATACAGGGATTTATTCATAGAGAATATTATCTAAATATCTTTAATAATGAACTTATTATCTGATGCAGTCAGAGACAGTAAAACTCCCAAACAGCATGACCAAACTACCTCCCCATTGAAAAAGGGATTTATTTCCCATGAACTGGGGATGTATTTCCCATGAACTGGGGATTTATTTCCCATTGAACTGGGGATTTATTTCCCATGAACTGGGGATTTATTTCCCATGAACTCCCATGAACTGGGGATTTATGTCCCATGAACTGGGGATTTATTTCCCATGAACTGGGGATTTATTTCCCATGAACTCCCATGAACTGGGGATTTATTTCCCATGAACTGGGGATTCATTTCCCATGAACTGGGGATTTATTTCCCATGAACTGGGGATTTATTTCCCATGAACTGGGGATTTATTTCCCATGAACTGGGGATTTATTTCCCATGAACTGGGGATGATTTATTTCCCATGAACTGGGGATTTATTTCCCATGAACTGGGGATTTATTTCCCATGAACTGGGGATTTATTTCCCATGAACTGGGGATTTATTTCCCATGAACTGGGGATTTATTTCCCATGAACTGGGTTAATAAATTGAACTCATAATATAATTATAACATGTAAAATATTTTATGTTATAATTATACTAAACTTATGGTTTGTTTCATAATTTTTCTTAATGCCTTAAAAATGACTTAAAGAAATAGTGCCTTAATATAATAAGAGGAAAATGAATGGTGATAAAATCAATAATTATATCAATAAAAAATGCTATGATTGTTGTCACTTCAAAAAAGAAAATATGGAATTGTATAAATCAAATTTACCTAATGAAATAGTGAATAATATTATTAATTATTCAATGGATGAAGAAGATTTATGTAAAATTTGTAGAAATTGGAGATATTATCAAGAATTAATCAGATGTCTGTTGGGAATAAAAAGAATTCGACATAGAAATGTAGAAGATGATATTTTAATATTTCTAACTGTAAATAAAATACCACCTTATGATTATGTTAAACAGTTTCTTAAAATTAGTAAGAAAAAATATGAAATGATGGATGATATATTATGGTTGTTGTGTTATAGTCAAGATAAAGGAGAAGATGTTAAAGAAAATATCAAATTATTTATTGAAAGTAAAAAGTTTAATATTCAAAATACATTGAGAGATATTAATATTATTTTTAAAATGATGTATGAAAGAAGAAAGATTTGTCAATTAAATTATTATCCTGTACTGAAATTATAATCATACTATAATAATAACATGTAAAATCTTATATGTTATAATTATACTGTACTTATAGTTTGTAAAGATTGAAATATTTTATTTTTCCTTGATTTGGCTGACTCTTTCTTAGTCGTGGAAACGCCTTTAAAGAAATACGGTAGTTCTATGATAAGGATGGAAGCAGTGAAAAAGTGTTCAAAGTGTAAAAATGATAAGTCTAAGGAAAGTTTCAGTGGTGATAATATGCGATGTGATAAGTGTTTAAAAGCTCAAAGAGACTATCAAAATAGACATAGGGAGAGAATGAACGAGGAACAAAGAATTAGATATGAAAACGATGAGGAGTATAGAAAAAAGAAACTGGAAAGGACTTATAGGAGAAATAAATATATTGTTAGTTGTGATGTTTGCAATTGTTCAATAAGTCAAGGGCATTTTGGAAGACATCTTAAAACAACAAAGCATCAACATAATTTAGGAAAGA